CCCTGGACCTGCACATGACTTGTTTATCTGCCCAGAGGCACTGAAAGACCTCAACAGTGACGTACTATAGCGCATGGTTTAATCAAGGAGATGTAGACATGACCATGTATTACACCCAAACTAAAAATAGAAAGGGGGTGTTTTTGTTGAAACAGCACGGCAGAAGAAAGACTCAGAGAATCTATTTGGAATTGGACAAAAAGAAACATTAGCCCCATCAAATCTAGGTTGTGCTGGGGTCAATTCAACAAAACCTCCCATTTAGGAGGGGGGTCGAAACTTCGGCTGGGGTGCATTGTGCCCCAAACTAATCCTCTTTCTGAGAACAATAACCAAACAAAGACACAAAGCTCCAACAAAAGGCTACATAGTAGTAACTTGCATACTTAAAGCAGGGAGCATCAAACAATAACGTAATTTAATATTTTTTATAATATTATTTTTCATTCAAAAAGTGAGATTTTGTAAGGTATTTTTACTGGGAAACATCAGGGATCGTCCTTTTTTAATAGCCAGTACAGGATGAGTCATCAATATATTTGGTGCATTTTCCCAGCAGAGAAAGACATTTTAAACCTGCCATGATATCAAAACTCACTTGGATATACGTCACAATAGGGAGGAAAATACCATTTCCGTTTCAAGCAGAATTTAAATGTGTATATCTGCAAAAAAGTTAATTTTCTAGACACTAGCATTTAGACATTTGCCTAAAACTTCTTATTTCATATTTAACACCATAAGATGTTATGTTCTTAGATGTATGATAAGCCTCTTTAAAACTAGCAAGTTGTTCTAAGAAGAAAAAACAGATGGTAGATTGTCTTCCTGGTCTTACATACAGATTATCAAAAAGTAGATTATGAAATTTAATTAGGTGATGGGGGTGACTTTAAAATGAGTCACAAAAATAAAAAACTGCTTAAAATGTCTGTCTATTCAATACTTGTTAGTGTAACCAATGATACACGTGGTAAGAGTGGTTATGATGACATCACTGCTTTGGTCTTTTGCGTGAGATCGTTAAGATAACCGCTCAAAAGATAGTAATAAAACCTGGAAACTGTGGAATACTCTTATATCTAATAATAACGCAAAGGCAAAAATAAGGGAGCGAACTGGTGTAATATGTATCCACCCTTATGGTGACACTATAAGAATTGGGATGAACTGAACAGTTCACCAAAGGCTGAGGACAGGAGGAAAAGAAACAATATTAAATTTGCATACAGGCCCAAACAACTTAGAAAGACTGAGTCACCTGCAGCATTAATATGTGACGATAAACATGAGGATACACCAAGGTCTTTCCTAATTTGTAATATCATATTTACAGCTAGCATTCCTTCTCTGAAATATTTCTACCAGAGGTAGATAAAATAATAAATAAATAAAAACTATCAATTGTTTACATTTGTGAAATGACAAGATATTAATTTCTGCTGAATTCCCATGACTTTTCCAGTCATTTGTAATGAGAGTTGGATAAAGAATTATTAATAATAATAATAAAAAAAATCAAATTTCTATCTGATGAAATATTGTAGAGCTAGGCACAGCTTAGAAAATTTTATTTAGCCTACTACTAAAATTATACATTTCCATGACAAAAAAAAAAATCACTAATATTTCCAGGTTTCCCATAACTAGTATGGTAATCCTGAAAATAAATTGTCATATTAACTATTCAAACAAGCACAATAAACAACAGATTTAAATTCTCCAAATGAGGAACTCAATGGGACAACAAACAAATGTCACATAGCCTACTAATGATACCATTCCCAAACAGCACATTACGTAATCTACAAATGGATGAAGTTCATTATAACTGGACAAGGATCCTGTCTTCAAGAAAAGAGCAATATCCAATAAACAGCAGTTACTGAATATCTTCAGTAGCCTATTGATTATGCTGGTTTTGACAGATACACGTAATGTCTAATATATGAACCACTAAAGAATAAGAGGAAGGACTCGTCATGAACACATGGTTGTGTCTCAATCCCCAGTGAGCTGCCTTCGCAGACAGCATTGTTTGACATCAAAGCCGCATTAGAGCGCGCACAAACGTGCTGTCTAGATAGGCAGCACAGTATGCTTCGAGACACCGCGAAAGCCGAAACTACTTAACGTTACAGACCGAAACCAACAGGAACACACCTGTCCGCGATACTTCCCTGTGTTTTATAGGAAGTTAAAGGCAGTATGCAGAACTACGGGGCGTCAGATAGTTGAAGATTACCTTTTGTGAGGTTTTATGATGTTTTTTAGATTAATTAAAAGATTTCAAGCTAGTCATGCTACATTAAACGAAGATTTAAGTCCCTATCCAAAGACTGACGAAGGCGTCGTTTACTATCTCACACAGTAAATTACATTATATTACTGTCCATCTGTGATATATTACATTTTTATACTACTTATTTATCTATTTAATGGCGGAATAAAACTTAAACTATTACAACAACTCACCTTAGAGTAGAGTTCGGTCACAGACATGATCCCAAATACAGCAGCTCCCACCTAAACTAGTCACATCAGCACACGTAAGGTTAAATATTTCCGTTTGAATATGATGATATTCCCAACCAGTTTTATAATCCAGCTTTCTTGTGTCCTGTCACCACTCCATGTTGTGCTGGTTTGTACTTTTGAACTCCCTCTGACGGCTAATGTTAGCGCGTTAGCCGCGCCTGATCACGGCAGGTGTCTGTCCCCATAATTGAAGTTCAGTTAGAAAAGAGTCCTTCATCCTCCGCATAAACAAATTACAAGTTAAAATAAGCAATGACTGCGACTTATCACAGATTTCTAATAATGGCTTAAAGGTATCGGTAAAATAAGAGCTAAATATGTAATTGTCAAAAATGCAGGAATGAAGTTGCTGCCCTGCCTTCTTTCCGTCTCCATGGACTCTCGACCATGACTGACATGACCGCACCGCAGCGGCAGAGAATCATGGATCAATGGCACAACTCAGTGTGTCTACAGCGACACCCTCTGGCCAATTACAGCACTGCATTAAAATCACGTTGACGGCAATAAAAATGCTAGATTGTAAAACGTCAGGTTTGTACGTGTATGAGTTCAAGTATCAAGTTCAGTTAGAAAATATTACGACAGTTTGTTCAGATAAAAGCGTTTACCTTTGTATAAGTGCCGTTTACATTTAAATTAGTTCTGAACACCAAGGGGGGATTAGAAAACGTTTAAAAATCTTAAAACTTACTGACACATTGTGATGAAGGTATAGTGGGTACTTTTCTAGTCACACGACAACAAAATAGCTTTCTTATTGATGGCTTTTTAAAATTAATATAAAAAACAAAGCCATAAACAGGCATTTCCAATAATAAATCCTATACAAAAAAATATGCTTGTTTTTATCTGCTTTTCTGCATTGCATTCCTCTAACTTGTGTATCACAAGCTTACACTTAAAACTTGGCTTTATTTACAGGGAAGTTTGTTTGCTGAACTTGGGTCTTCAGATAAATTACTTGTGTTGGTTCTCATTTGTAAGTCACTTTGGATAAAAGCATCTACTAATTTACTACATGTAAATTTAAATGTAAAATAGCATCGCTGCTTATTTGTGTTTTTTTAAAGAAATAATAATAAAAATAATAAAGATTATGTCAACAACTTTTCTCGGACAGTTACACCACCTGTAAAATCACAATGAGTTAAATTCAAAATTCATTTTAATTCAAAAAAACGTTCATTCTAGAAAATGTGTATTCAAGCCATTTATTTATTTATTTTTGTTTAATTACTTACTAGATCCAGACAAAAAAAAAAAAAATCACATCATTGACCTGTATACATCACTAAATTCCGTGTTTTTGATCTGAGACCAACTCCCTGAAATTATTGTTACTTGTCACTTATCTTTCCATCTTTGACTCCAGCTAAACTTTGAAACACATAGCGCAAAAATAAGCTACTAGTTAATATACAGTATAACATCACCAGAATACACATCATTGCTCCAAGATAACACTGCTCTGATTAAACTGGTTGGGTCCATTTCACTGTGATCACACAATGTGAAGTTTAACTCTCTATATACTTATATGTACTTTTTCTTATGTTTCTTAGAAATATTTGAGAGCAGAACCTGCCTAGAATAATCTAATACTGTGCGGTGTTTGCTCAGTGTCTGCATCATTAATCAAAGACACAAAGCTGAGCAACACAGCAGCTTCTCTACTCTTATCTGCAAGGTGCAGAGTGGACACAACACAAACCATGTGTAAAGTACAGGGTGGAATAGAAATTCAGCCTAAGTAGTGTTCACATCCTGAATAAATTCCATAAAATAAAATTCCATAAACAGAGGTGTGATTTTTGTTTTGTTTTGAAAAAAAGTGTTTAGCTGGTTTCTAAAGTTTTTTAATAAATTTATTTATAAAGCTGTAACCTGTAAATCTCAGTGAACCACATGCTGTATTATTAATGTGATAAGAAAATCTAGAATTAAAGAGTCGCTGTGTCTGACTTACCTTGACATAAAGCTCATGTTCACGCATCTTCTTCTCTTAAAAATTGTGCCAATATCCACAGACACAATGATCATCAGAGCTCTGAATTATTCAGATATAGTATATTCCTCATGTCATGCTTTAAAAGATTGTAGCGTACTTTGCAGAGCCTGAGAATTTTGTAAAGTTAAACCTGTCTGAACAGCTGAGTGAGAAAGAAAAAAGGAGACAGAAATGAAATCATATCAATTGCTCCCACACCCATAGCACTCCTAGGTAAGGTATTGGGCGTTGACTAACTTCTTAACCATACACTAGCTGTCGTGGAATCTGCAGTGTCTAAAGTTAACCGCCCACTCCCTCACCTACTAATCAGCCCAGCAGCTTATTGGTCTAAAACCTTGTTGCCAAATCAGTATGGAAATACTCTAGAGTGTTAACTGTGTCATTTTTAAACCTCAACCTTTTGACCTCTCCTGGTATTGTGTACTGTACATGCTTCATAGCAACTGTGGACAGTGTCTCAAGTTTTTAATTAGATGGTTGGTGTTAAAAGGCGGTGCATAAGGAAGTCTTCTATGTGAAATCTATGTGAAGACACTCTTCACATTCTATTCATTGAAATTATTTGCTTTCTTGAAATAATCTTTTAAACATGCAAATATCTACCTCAAAACAAGCTAATCCAGTCAGACTTGTATTTACTGTACGCCTGAATACAAACTTTGACACGGGATAATGAATCTGATCACAGATCACACAAATGTGTAAAACAAACCGCATACAGTTATTCAGAAATGAGCATGAAAGTTAGGAACTTCACTGAAAGTTCCTTTTTTTAAAAATCCGTTTTCTTTTTATACTGTTTTTAGAATATCGTATACTAAAGTTAAGAATGTTACTAATGTTGTGAGTAGAATTGGTTTGGATTTATGCCAACTGTCCACCAGAGCTGGAGCAGCGGCGCTCTCGTCTCCTGAAGGGATGAACTGCTGTGGTGCCGGATATGGGCCTTGAAAGAATGTCCTGAATCTTCTTATTGTACTGCTCCTGGTACATTAGACCCTCCTGGAACTCGTGTTCTTTCTCAGCTTGTTCTGCTTCACAAATGCGCTGGCGGTGCAGCATCTGAGCCAGTAAATCAGCCTGATACTCCTGAGAGGCCTCCCTTAAACTGGACATATGTGAAACAAAATATTATACATTTTTGCATGTTTTGGTATGGGTATGATTAAGTTGAACAACTTTGAGAGACAGGAACCTACCGAGTCTTTTCTTCGTCATCCAGCAATTTGTTCTCTTGAATGATTCGGTCAAGCTCCTCTCTCTCTTTGAAAGTCTCAGCCTGTTTCTGCAGGTTCTCGTTCACTAAAGGGAATAAAAAACAACAACATTTAATTAACATTTAATAAAACTTTATTATTACATTTATGTATAATAATAAATTACATGTAGATTTTTTTAATGATTAATTTTTTACCAAGGGTGCATTTATGTGATCAAAAATACAGTAAAAACAGTAATCTTGTACAATAGTATTACAATTCATAATAACTTTTGTTTTTACTTTTTACTTAAATATGCTAATTTGGTGCTCAACTTGTTTTATTTTTATGTGATTGTGCTACTTCATATTTTTGTGGAAACCATGACTCCAGATTATCTATCTAAAATGTTTTTTTAATTTTTTTTTTTTATATCAATGTTGGAAACAGTTGTGCTGCTTAATATTTTTGTGGAAACCATGATACATCTTTTTCATTTTTTATTTGATGGATATAAAGGTTAAAAACCTAATTTATTTGCAATAGAAATCTTTTGTAATGCCTTTATTGTCATTTTAATCTTATTGTGAATTTAATTTGTCCTTACTGACTCCAAACTTTTGACTGGTAGTAATATATATATATATATATATTTATATATATATATGTCTTATCATTTATATTTTCATTGTTGGGTGAACTATCCCTTTAACGCTCACTTAGTTTCTTTAAATGAATGAAAAATTAAAATTTATAATAATAATTGTAATAATTGGTTAAGTTTTGTAAAGTGTTATTAAATAAAAAATATATATAAAAAATAAAGAATACATTAAATAAGTATTAATTATACACAATATATATTTTAAATAAAATCTTTAAAAACTGAATACTGTTAAATCTAATCTTTAGCAATCTCAAAACGAATATACATTTTTCATCCAGCACATTATAATCTTGTGATTCCTAAATTGACTGTCAGCATTAAAAACAAATGATTTTAGTGATTTATTTTTCATTTATTTAGACAAAAGTTTATTGAATATACTGTATATATATATATATATATATAAATGCCTGATCTTAAAGCATTTTCCTTACACTTCTCCTGGATCTGCAACCGGCGAGTGTCCATGACATCCTTCATGAGTCTGTCTCTCGCTGCCTTTTCCAGACGCCACTGTGCCTCCCTGCGGGCCCAGGCCTGCTGGAGCTCTGATTCAAACAGTTGCTCAGTCTCAGCTTCCTGTCGTTTCTGCTCTTTCAGCTGCTCTGCTAGATGCTCCCGGTACCTGTGCTGCTCCTCTTTAAGCTCCAGCTATTCATGAAGAACATTTCATAGATTTAGATCGAATTTATCAGCAACAAGCCTCTGTCTCTCGCTCTCCCTTCTCTCTCGTAGAGTCGTGGCTCTTTCATGCATCTTAGCCTGCCTCTCCAACACTGTCTCTTTTTTTGCCTCCATCTCCCTGAAGAGTTCCTGCTCTTCTGACTCCAGCAGCTCACGAAGCCTGTCGAAAAGAGCCAGACAAATGTCATTACATTACAGTGAAAGACTATTTCCTAATAATTTATGAGGTTATTCCATTCAAACCTTTCCCTCTTTTCGTCAATGCCTATGTGGTACTGCTCTCTTGCTTCCTGTAGATGTCTACTAATAGTGGCCGAAACCATCCGGCGCTGTGTGTTTCTTTCCCATTGCATTCTCACATCACAGGAGCTATGATCCTTGGTAAACTCCAGAACCTCATTCTGTGTCGCCTCCTGTTTCCTTCTCCTCAGAAAAAGGTTGTCTATGTCTTTGGATAAAGGATGTCTGGCTCTCTGAAATGTACATATTTGAGTTGAATATTAACACACTAACCAAAATTTTAATAATAGGCTGCTATGTTATCTCATCAAATCTGCTGTCTTCCCAAAGAGAAAGATACAGTCTAAAAAAACATACATATAACTTAATCTGCACATTAGAAAATGTTTAGCTTCCATCTTTCATTAATGTTTTTTTATCACCCGTGATCAGGCCCCAATAATATTTGAAAATTTGGTCTCATAATCATCATCATCATCATCATCATCATCATCAGTGTGTGTGTGTGTGTGTGTGTGTGTGTGTGTGTGTGTGTGTGTGTGTGTGTGTGTGTGTGTGTGTGTGTGTGTGTGTGCGTGTGTGTGTGTGTGTGGATGTGTCGTGTGTGTTGATTTTGTCAAGCAAGCAAACATAACTAATAACTCACCACTGCCACGGAATGTACAGGTCCAGTAATCTCCCGTGTCCTTCTTCGGTGAGCTGTCAACATGGTAATTTTTTTGTTTAAATCTAACGTACTTTCTCAGGCTCTAGCTAGCTTGAGAAATGACCCTCAACTTGTGTTTACGGAACTGAACTGATGTTGCCATAACAACGGCAAGCCACATCAGCCGCCTTTCAAAATCCACTTATGTGATGATGATGATGATGATGATGATGACACGATGATGATTGTCAACTTGCAATTATCCTAAAATACAGTTAAATGCTAAAGTTAAATGCCATATTACAAAAACTCCAATAATCTTGTGACTGTGAAATTATTTTTCTTAATCACAGGAACAGGCGAGCTTTTATTTTGTGAAGTTTTCAAGCATTGAAACGATACCCCTCCAATCTTATGACGTTTTATTGAAAAGAAAAAAAAAACGTTTTATTAAAAGAGAAAAGAAAAGCAACCAGACAAACCAAAAATTTCACATCTAATCCTCCTAACCAATATTCTTTCGGAGAAATCAATCAACAATCAATCAACATTTATTTCTATAGCGCTTTAAAACAACCAACCGTCAGACATCTGTAAAGAAATATTCTTTACAATTCTATATAAAAGTGTAGGGTCAGAAACACATAAAATAACATTACTCACATTCATCTTTAGTTTGTATAGGTTTTTGTATATCTGATGGTGATATAACAGAACAGAATCACTTTTGCAGTTTATTTCCAATAAAACAAACACGAAAGGATACCACCATCAAATACTCCAGTTAATATGAAAAGTTCCCCACTAATTTTAAAGTTGCCACTTGCTTTTGGATTTAGACGCCCTAAGCTTTTAATTTGAAATTTCTCCTCTCCCCGCGCTTCCGGTGATGTCAAGTCTCCAGAACGCGCCAAAGTTTAGACGGACGTGCAGTGTAGGCACTTGTCTGTGTAAATATACGAACAGAACAGATAAACAACCTGCTTTACATGGGACAACTTTAACACTGATGTAGGTGACTCGCAAGGTATGTTTATTTGACAAAATAACATAAAAAGTGACATCGAACAGCATCTGAATGTCGGAGTTGACACTTTACTTTTGCTTACAGTTGCTAACCTAGTCATATTTTGCATGTATGTCATTATGTTTATTTACTCAAAACGAATATTTTCGGTGTACCTTTAGCACACCGAAAGAGCTGCTTATTACTAACGTTAACTGTGTAGAGTAAAACTTAACTGGTTTGCTTTCTCTAACGTTAGTTCTCAAGGATGTCCTGACTTGTGTCCACAGATCAGATCATGTCTGTGCCTTTTGTTAAAGACTGGGATGTGGTACAAACCCTCGGAGAGGGGGCGTATGGAGAGTAAGTGACCACTAGTGTACTTTTTATTAGTGCCATCCTGATCAGTTGAACTTTTAAAATATATGAATCTACTTCAAATTATTGTAGGGTGCGACTGCTGGTCAACAAGAAGACAGAAGAGGCTGTGGCTGTGAAAGTTGTGGACATGGCAAAAGCCAAGGATTGTATCGAAAATGTGAAGAAGGAGGTTTGCATATGCAAGATGCTCTCACACCCCAACATTGTACGTTTTTTTGGGCACAGGAGTGAGGGGACGACACAGTACATCTTCTTGGAGTACTGTAGCGGAGGAGAGCTCTTTGACCGAATCGGTGAGATTTGGACAATTGTTTTTTTGTTGGATCAGTTTCTTTGTCCTGTAATGTACATCTGGTGGGGTCTTAATGTTTGTGACGAGCGAGAAGATTCTACTCAAAATGTCATTTGACTCTCATTCTGACAGAACCGGATGTTGGGATGCCAGAAAAGGATGCACACAGGTTTTTTCAGCAGTTAATAGCTGGTGTGGTAAGTTTTTGATGATTTGAAAACTTTATTTCTGACTCTGGTTTGTTTTGTGAACAGTTTTCGCCCCATAGCTGCCTTTGTAGTGAAACTAGATAATATCTCTCACTTACAGGAATATCTTCACGGCATTGGGATTACACACCGTGACATAAAGCCTGAGAATATTCTTCTTGATGATAAAGGTACATCTAAATGGTTTTGTGTTTCCTCATTATAAAACAGATTCTAGCAATACAATACCTAGAGATTGGCATGGTTTTATTTCAGTGAGCCTAATAGCTGGTTTGTTTTGCATTGAGAGATGATCTTATGGAAAGTACACCATGCCGATCTCTAGGTATGATGAAGGGTATGTGATGGTGTGGGGCTATTTTAATTCCAAAGGCCAAGGGAACTTTATCAGGATGCATAGTATCCTGGATCCATGAAATTTTAAGGAAGAACATTTATTTATTTACGATACATTATTCATTCACAAAGAAAATTGGTGTCCTTAAAGGTTGGATTTTTTCCAAATTTAAAATCAATTTCTAAAAGATGATTTTTTATTCCTCTTTTTAGTCAACTTTAGCATGGGTGTATTCATTTATGCTAAGCACTGTACATATACAGTACCGGTCAAAAGTTTGGAAACATTACCATTTTCAATGTTTTTGAAAGAAGTCTCTTTTGCTGATCAAGCTTGGATTTATTTGATAAAAAAATACAGAAAAAAACAATAATACTGTGAAATTTTATTAAAATTTAAAAGAATGGTTTTCTATTTAAATATACTATAAAATATTATTTATTTATGTGATGCAAAATTTAATTTTCAGCATCATTACTCCAGTCTTCAGTGTCACATGATCCTTCAGAAATCATTCTAATATGCTGATTTGATACTCCGTTATTATCAATGTTGGAAACAGGTGTGCTGCTTAATATTTTTTTTTATAATCGGTAATACTTTTTTTCAGGATTCTCTGATGAATGAAAAGTACATAAATAGTACAAAAATTGTATAAAAAGAACATTTGTTTAAAATAAAAATCTTTTGTAACAATATACACTTCTGTTCAAAAGTGTGGGGTCGTATTTTTCTTGATTTGAAAGAAATTAATACGTTTATTCATCAAGGATGTGTTAAAGTTTTTGTTATAAAGTGATAGCAAAATCTTTGTTAGAAAAGATCCCTATTTTGAGATTTTATTTATGTTATATTTATATATCAAATATATATACATGTGTTTGTATACACGCACACAATTTATAATATTCAACATTTTATTAAAATGCATATTTTCGCTCAGATAATCTCAAGATCTCTGATTTCGGACTGGCTACCATGTTCCGCCACCGTGGCCGAGAGCGGCCGCTGTCCCGTTTGTGTGGCACTCTACCCTATGTTGCCCCCGAGCTGATGTCACGATCGGCGTTCCACGCTCAACCTGCGGACACTTGGGCTTGTGGCATTGTGCTCACTGCAATGTTAGCTGGAGGTAGGACAACACTTTTCTGAGTGTCATTCAAAGACAGCATCTCCTTGTAAAGATTTTAGCATATACTGCATTTTTCCTTAGAGTTACCATGGGACCAGCCGAGCGAAAACTGTCAGGAATATTTAGATTGGCTGGAGAAGAAGATCTACCTCACACCGTGGAAGAAAATAGATGCTGTGGCCCTGAGTAAGTAGCTTAGCTTTATTTAATCCAGTAAGTTTATTTTTTGTATTTAGACCAGAATATCATCGAATTGTGGGCTCTTTTGACTTGGGCCAGAAAGCAACTACTCAGAACACACTAGCAACTGCATAAAAACATCTTAAAAAAGATTTTTATTTTTATTTTCTTTGTCAGGTCTGCTATCCAAGATATTACTGCATAATCCAGAGGAAAGGTTTACCATTCCTGAAATGAAGAAACATCGTTGGTTTTGCAGAAGTTTCAAATCAGGTACTGCTTTCAAGCATTAGCTTAGTCACTCTAAGTCTTTCAAGAATTTTTGTGATTCTGTTAGATCTGTATTTTTGACCACAGCACTAAAACGACAGAGTGACATGCCAGTAACAAAGATGCATCGGGCTGACTCAGAGCTCTCACAGCTGAGACGGAAAAACAGGTCAGTACGACAAATGAATGCAAATGGCCGCTGAATGATAGGTTAGTATGAAGAGAAACTGTGTTCACTAGTATATGCTATATTACGTTCTAAGGGCCACATCCATCACTACCTATGTGTTTCCTCAGTGATGACAGAGCACAGATCTCCAGCTCTCAGCCTGAACCGCAGGGATTGTGGGAGGAGAAGGAGGTTACAGTGCACACTGATGTCAGTGTCAGCTTTTCACAGCCTACCTGTCCTGACCACATGTTGCTGGGCAGCCAACTACTTGGTACTCCGGGTGCCAGCCAGGTAACCTATTCTATAAAATTAATAAAAATGATAGTATGCTGCTGACTTACTGTTTTGTTTTTCACTTCTTTGTTTTTGTGCATGTTTATATATGCTTTATGATTTAAGTCTCAATCATAAGTTTAAGTTTTTTCTTATTTCTGTCAAAAATGTTTGTTCTTATTCCATAGTAGTGCTTCAATTTTATGTCACTCATATTGTTGAAATATATTGCCTGATGTTTTATCCATTTTGGGTCATTTTAAAAAATGTTCCCCAGTTATTTATTTAATAAAACTAATTAAATTAAATACTAAAAAATGTTTTATTCGCTTATCTTATTTGTATTTTTTTGCAGAACCCATGGCAGCGGTTGGTGAGAAGGATGACCAGGTTCTTTACTACGGAGAAGGCAGAGGCGTCTTGTATTGCTCTCCGTGATGCTTGCATTGCTATGGGTCACACATGGAAACAGAGCTGCACCAATCAGGTCACTAGATAAAACAATCAGTTGTTACATTAAAGTATTTTAAATACTTTGCACTAAATCCTGAACCATATAATGCACTGATCTTCTAGTTTTTGTCCCTTTTTCTCTCTTTCTATTCATAGGCGACAGTGTCCACAATGGATCACCGCAATAATAAGCTGATCTTCATAGTACACTTCCTGGAAATGGAGGAACGCATTTTAGTAGATTTCCGACTGTCAAAGGTAAGCAAATTACTTTTATGCTATCATTTATGGCTTATTAATTACATTTACCTCACTATGATGATTCTAAATTAACTGGTTTGTCAAGAATCTTTGAATAAAGAATAATTATTTTTATAATTCGTAATTATTTGTATAATATAATTGTTTTGAATAGTAAAGCTCTGTCTTCTAAAAAGTGTTCTTTTGTATTCTAGGGGGACGGTTTGGAATTCAAGAGAATATTCCTGAAACTGAAACTGAAACTGTCTGACATTATTAGTAACCAAAAGGTTTTGCCTTTGAATTGATGCGTGTCCACATTTTAACGTGCAAAGTCTACATTCACACATGCGTATATACACACACACACACACACACTAAGTTGTTTTATGATTGTAGAATGTGTTTGGATTTGTGTTTGTAGTTGTATATGTCTGTTTTTCTGATCAGTGAGTGAAGGAGTGAGGAGAAACTGTCAAGTTTAGTTTATCTGTTCATTTGTGTTCTGTTACTGAAGTGAAGAAGAGGGTTTGAGTTCTGCTGCCCCTTGAAAAGATGCAAGTGAAAGCAAAATTTAAAATAAATCTGTCATTAATAATGCTGTTTGGCTTAGACTGCTTTGTTTAAATTAGAAAAGGGAAGAAAAATGTATCATGTTCAGCCTTAATTTTATTCAACGCTGAGTTCAGAAATGAGTGTATTTTGCTTACAAAGACAATTCATTCAAAAATATCAAGTTGTCATTTACCTACATGATTGGTTTACCTCAACCCATGTGATTCAGAAGCAGCTAAAATCAGTTTAGTTCATTGTAAATAGACACATGAAAGGTGAATAAGTCATTTTCAATCTACTGGTATAGGAGAAGCAAGCAGTAAATGTAGAAAACAATATAACAATCCTGCTGTTAATTAACAAAATTTGCTTGTGTTTTAGTCATACCAAAACCAGGTTAGCTTGCTAATATCTGTTATAGATGTTATCTAAATGGGAGACACTTGCAAGTTGATCTTATAAAATTACATTCAACACAAAATTATTTCCCCCCCTTTCTTAGTTTACTTCTATTGATGATGAGAATGTGTTCCTGATCCCCAGTAGTAAATGGTAACAAAATGGTTATGATCAGCCTTGTCTTTAGCTTGAGGCCATGACAGTAATAGTTACGTTGACTGGCTCCTCGCCAGGGGGAAGGTTTGTAGGTGTTGCGGTTGGCCTTGGCAGTGCCATCGATGCTGCTGTAAGAGAAAGCATTTTTTTTTTTTTTTTTTTTTTTGCTGAAGTGAACAAAAATGTTTTTAATTATTTTGGTATGAGTTGGATAATTAAGTTTCAATGGTGTGAGGTACCTGGACTAGCTGGTGGGCTTGGCTGTCCTGTACCTCTCTCCCCCTCTGCTGTTCCAGGAACCTCATCCTCAGGGAAGTTAATGTTCTCTCTAGACTGGCTATTCTGCCTGAAAAACACAAATAGTAGTAAAGTAGTCAAGAAATTGTAAAGAGCAATCAAATAACTGTCGAATATCAATTATCAAAGCATACCTTCCAAATATCAAGTCATGAAGCCCTGTAAAGTATGAAAGTGGTATTAGCATACAGCCTTGCTAGTGTTAACTAGGAAATAAATACATTTCTTTCAACACTAAGGATGCGTAACTCACGTGGGTTATTGTTGCGGTTCCGTACCACATACAAGAAGAGCAGTACAGTGATTATTGTGGCTATGATCATGCCCCCGATGGCTGCCCCGATCACAGCTGGGTAGGCATTGAAGGGAGGTTCAGCTGGAAGACAGCATACCTATATCAGCTTCACAATATCAGTGTCACAATAGTGTGCCATGTACCATGGCAATCGGACATTTATTCAGAGGCTTATAAGAGCTCTTACTCCATAATATAAATTGTAATGTGTTACTGTTTTTTGGGAACAAGCTTAAACATTTACTTGGGTTAACTAGTTTATTTAGCATCATTAGCATTTATGATCATATGCTCTTTTTTTAGAGGTAAGTTGTTATCAGACAGAATGAGATGAGTAGACAAACGTAATGCCAGGAAAGGTCAAAGGGTAAGTTAACAGGCAGGTCATGTAAGAGGAAAGGGATAGAAGGATGGAGATGTGTGAGTATGGAAGTGGTCAAGTTTGCATTTCACCTGAATGGACAACAAAACAAAAAACAACAGCATTAGATTTTCAGTGAGTGATAACTATAAAAAAGAAATCCCAACAACAAAAACACCCCGATCTTAAACATTTGCCAACAGCATCAAATTATATTCTGCTTTTCTATTTTCATGCAATTCATGTTTATATGTGCATTGATGCTCAGATTTTCAATGTACCTTGTAAGTGTTCTCACCTGGGCTCTTTGTCTCTGAAGGGTTTCCAATGGTGCGATGGTTGAAGGCAGTAATGCGAAATCCATAGGTTCCTGTGGGATCCAGATTGTTGATTTGGTAGCTTCGGGAATCAGGCTCCAGATCTACCAATTTCTGCCAGGGAAGATCACTGTTTCTTTTCTTCACAGGTTCAGGGAGCCTCTGGCGCTCTATAAAGAACCCGGTGAGCTCGCCATCAGTCTGGAGCTGCCACTCTAAGTCAACATCAATCCGTTGACGACTGTTGTAAATGATCTTATTGATGCTTATATTTGGGGGCATTGGATACCCTGAAATAGGAAGATTTAGAAAGTTATTCATTTATATATAACAACCAATTAAAGAGCTACAGGAGTTGAGATAGATACAGTAGTACCCATCCATGTGCATTATGTACCATTGTATTGTAAGTACTGTATATGAAGTATAATGTCAGTATGATACTTAAAGGCTTGCTTACTCTTCACCATCAGCATAATGGGAATCTCTGCCCCTCCGACAGCATTGGTAGCCGAACACCAGTACTGTCCGCTGTCCGTATCGCTGTCCGTTTCCCGCACGGTCAAGTTGGTCCAGGCAGCAGCCCGCTCCAGGACGTACTTCTTAGGAATCTCATTCACATGCTGTTTCAGGTTGTTGTACCAGGTGATCTCTGTGACAGGGTAGTTTCTACTCAAGATACATGTGAGCTGGACATCACTACCCTCATAGACGGTCATCACACTGCGCTGGGTCACTAGGACTGGTGCCTCTGAAGACCAAAAGGAAACAGTTTTAAATGGATTCTTTTACTGTTTTAAAAGAGTGCTGAAAAATAATGACTGACCCTTTCTTACCCAGCTTTAAAGTACACTGTTTGGTCCCCTTAGCCAATGGATGTTTTGCATGGCATATAAAGGCCTTGCCACTGTAGATAGCGCTTGACCGCAGAACCAGGATGTTGGCATTCTCCTCAGACGTGCCTTGCATGTCCCCTGAGCTGGAGGCCCACCATACCAGGGCTCGAGGGAACCCACCTTCCCAAGAGCAGGACAGCATTAGGTACTCATTGTTTCGAGTTGCATATGCAGAACACTTTGGCTCCCCATAGGGCATCCCTGGGATCAAGAGTATGTACAAATTATTTACTGACCTTTCGTTCATCTCAACGTGAACTAGGTGCTCTTGGTTTTACACTTACAAGTTCTGGCACTGCAGCTCTTGATTTCATTTGATGTGATGTGTGAGCCTTGACAGATGAACACAGTGTTGTTTCCAGTCTCTTCACCTTTCTGAATCTTGGTGATGTTTGTGAGTCCCTCGCTCTCTTCTCCAAACACATACGGGGTCCATCTCAAAGTGGCTGCGGGGATACCACCCTCCCAGGTACAGCGGAGGGCCAGGTCAGTGTAGTTGTTTACTGGTGAGATCGAACATGTTGGAGCGCCATCTGGAGGATCTGTGGGAACAAAACCATTGTGTAACACAGGGCAGTGAAATGGATCCAGGGTAATTTGGGCCAATTTTGGAAACTGATAGAGGCAGAGAAGTGCTCCTGAATTTGAGCCGTATGAAGAGGTCGGATTAGGTGTCTATTATTTATCTAGATAGAAGAGGTAGTCATCTTCTAGAAAGTTCAAGAGTAGTGAAATATTGGATTGGCATCTGCTAAAAAAAACATCACCTATTAGGATTTACCTTTATCCTTCCCATTTCAACTGAGACAAACTTTAAGACATATCATGAGAAGGTGTTGCTGTGTTAGTATACAGTATCGGTGGGGTTGTTAGCACCCTACACTCATTCAAGAATAGGTGTACATTCAAGGCACGAAGGGGGGATTGAGGTGTTATGACAAACCAAAACAAGGCCTTTTGGCCTTTCTCGACTTGTCATAGCACAGAAACAATCACACCTGCTGTATACCTTCAGCTCTCAGAACTGTCCTTCATCTCCTCCAGATGCACGTCCACAATCGGCCACTGTGGAATCCTGACACCTTTGTTTACGTAACTGTCTTTATGTTCGTGTGAGCATGTTTGTGTAAAGGAAAAGATGTAAGAGGAAGCAAAGGCAAGAAATTTGAGAAGCAAACTTGAAGAAGTTGTAGAACTCTATCAGGACAGGTTGAAGAAACAGCAAAGATGGCCACCAGAATCCAGGCAGGGGTTTGTGGGAGCACTCACAGTAGACGGTGAGGGTGATGGTTTTCCTGGAGCGGGTGTTGAGGTAAGTGTTCTGAGCCAGGCATGCATAGTGGCCCGTGTGCATGCGTAGAACCTTGGTGATGGTGAACTGTGGACCCGTGAACACTTGGGAGTTGTTGTAGAACCAGACATACTGACTGGGGGGATTAGAAGAAGCTTGACACAGGAGAGAAACCGTCTCTTTTTCCAGGGCGGAATAACCCCGCTCTGTCACTGAGTAAGGGGTGACATCGATCTGAGGCTGGTCTGGACCAACTAGAGAAGAGACATAGATGTTTACATGACAGATTCTCTTTAAATTGCTTTTCATATCACAGACTAAAATTATATGATGCACCAAACTGTGTTGTTTATTTCAAAGAGTACTTGGGAGTCTCTTACAAATGATGTCTAGCCAGATTCGGTCACTGCGCTGCTGGTTGACTTGGTTGCTGGCAAGACACCTGTACCATCCAGTGTGATTGCGGTTGACGTCAGTGACATTGAATCGGTTGTCGTCATAGATCTCAGCCATGGTGGTGAGCTGGCTTTCCCGACTCTCCTGTTCCCATATGTAATTAATAGGCCCAGTTCCATTCTCCAGGCCACAGCGCATGGTCATTGACGTGCCCTCCACTGGCGAAGAGTCGCTCATCAAAATGTAAGGTTTGGTAACTGGCACTGTTAAAGTCATTACAAAATGGAACCTCATCACTGATAGATCATGAAAGAGTGGCTGTAAAATATAATAACATTTCTAGTACAACCTAAACAATAAACAAGTTGATGTTATTTCAGTCTAACCTTTTCTTTGTTTCCTTTTTTTAATTTTATTGGAAATTAACTTTACATGTGTTCATTTATTAATTTAGTAGATGGTAACAAACAATTCATGCTAATATCATCAAAGTTATATTTAATTAGATCAATCACTAGTTAATCACAAGACTTCTTTAGTCAAAGTTCCTTGGTGTAAACAATATAACAGCAATAGTTTTAGAAGACTTTGGGGCATACCAGTAACACATTATGGTAATTTAGGGTTTCTGCACCACTTTAAATCTCAGGGGCAATATAAATGAACCTTGAACTTGGTCTGCCATTGTTCAGATCAGTATTTAGACAACCTCTGATTACCACTAACCTAGGACATGCAGAAATACATAGTAGTAATACAGCTTGGCTCCTTCCGGGGTATCATACAGTGCCTGGCAGGTGTACACTCCTTCTGCAGCCAGAAGAAGCTTCTCAATGGACAGAGAGGCGCTGTTGCTGATTACTGTCAGATCACCCAAGTCGCTGGCTAATTTCTGTATTTTGGGACCCTTCCCAAAGTTGTACACTACAGCACGGATGATGTCTGTGCCCGGTTGTGTGAAGCCCCAGATGTAGACATCGGGTAAGGTGGGGCCACACTCCAAGATCACTCCACGTCCCACCACTCCATTGGTCTTGGTCTCACTGTATACCACCTGTCCCGGGTCCAAGATATCTACGCCTGGGAGAGCACACAAATAATTTTAAAGGTGGCTGTGATCCAATATTATTAGCATTGATTAAGTTGCTAAGGGTATGTCACAAGTATTCTCTTCACTTGTATTTTGACAATATGAGAAATAATATTTAATTTTCCTCATTCCACACACACACACACAGTCTGAACAAGAAAACAAATACTTCTAATCAAACGGAACAGCTAACAAATCTATGATTGAAAGTATTAGTTGACACTGGCATTGAACAGAATATTAAAAAAATATTGAAAATGTTTGTTGATTTTCTTACCTTGAAGGAGGAGGGGTAGAAATAAAACAGTCAGACAGATATAAGTTACCCCTAAAACTCTTTGAACCATGGTGCCATGATCTCATGTCCAATGACTTGACCAATATGTAAAAAGGAACAACAGCTATCTTCAAAAAAGAAGAAAAAACAAAGAGAAATATCCAATAAATATGATGTGACCTCTCCGAGCTTATGATTACAGCTGAAGTCTACAGGCTCAATGAGAGAAAGAAGCAACTGAGTCTCTCTAAACTGATTTGGCTTGAATAATTCACAGACCTTCCCTTCCATGTACAAGAGTACAGTGGATTGGAGTAGAAAGGTTTAGGATGACACAATGATAGCTGTGTCTCATCTATTATTGAGGGTGGCGGGATGGATGGCCGTTCTTGCATTCCATCACACGCAGTGAGAAAGAAAAAACATCTGATACATGCTGTAACACAATGAGTTATTCTCTTATATAAATAATAATAAAAAAATGCTAATATTAAACAACAGTCCTTTAATAGTGGCCTGATAGCGTTAATTAATTCATTGATACACAGATTATGTATTACTTACATTGTGAATTACATTTTTCATCAGTTTGGAATTGTTAACTTTCCCCATCCATGCAGTCTGTTTTGAAGGCTACATATAAAGGTAGGCTGTGGCTAATGCACAATTAAAATATATATATCTATATTTAGATTCCAGGGTTAGTTGGGTTCACAGCCTGAGATGATGCACTTTAATCACAGATCTCTGCTCTTATGAGCTCATCCCCTCTCTGGGTTTGAGGTCAGAATTTGTGTGTGTGTACTTACTTAACTATATTTTGGGGACAAATTTGTACCCAGAAGTTACCAAAATCTCCAAAAACCTCCCTTTAGGGATTTTCTTATTTGTAAATCTGGTATATAAAAAAAAAACAGTTTGTACAGTATAACAACCATTACGTCTATGTATGTGTGTGTGTGTGTGTGTGTGTGTGTGTGTGTGTGTGTGTGTGTGTGTGTGTGTGTGTGTGTTTCCATCCATAACAGCTCAGCCAAGCAAAGGAAACAGTGCCTCGCTGCATTCATTCATGAGTTTCTCGTGTTACACTTCCATGTAAAGTGGACAAACATACTGGAACAGAGAGCACAACCCAAATACGCAGATGCAAATGAAAATTATGATATGATTGATATTACGTAACCATTGTGAATAATGATATTTTGTTGTGTAATACAATGACATTCAAAAGTGTCAAATACTTTTAGTGGCCACTGAGGTTCTAATACAAGTACTATTGGTCTGAACACAAGAGAGACAGTTGGTTTACAGCAGCTCCACTACTGACACACAAACACACTCGTGCAAATAGTTCATAATCGGAGTTATGTGATTAGCGCAAATCAGTTCTGTAACCAGACGAAACCAGCTGTGATCTGTCATGTTCACGCCAGATGGCATACAGTATGTCATGTATATTAAATTCAATCTATAAGTAGGTTTAATCAGATTATTATTTTATTTTAAATAATTGTGTAACCATCACACAATCACTTCCTCATTACACTTTGCATTGCATTGCATCATCACATTCTGGTTAAATGGAAGAAAATATACAATATTATCAGATATAATCAGCGATATTAAAACCAAAAAAATTTTTATATTGAATCCAATGTTTATTTATTAGTAGAAAAGAGAAGAAAAAAAATCACATTTGGTTAAAACATTCATTTACATCATTAACAACTTATTCAGTACCAGCTGGTCACTATAACAACACACAAATACATATAATGTAATGCATCACATTTCTGCACATTGTCTCATGCCCATACACTATATAAATACTCTATGCAGTTATTAAAATTGCAGTGCATGAAATAACTTTGTACCATTGTGCATAAATGTCACAAAGCATAATGTAAACAATAATAAAGCACAAATGACCAAAGAGATTCACAGTTCTACTTCCTGGAATATGCTGGTGCACAAAAAAAAGGTCTCATATATACAGTGTGTGTAACATATATACACTCATACATACACACAGCATATACAGTGTAAAGATGCAAAAAATATGAATAATGACTATTTTGTATTGGTCATAGATCATGCTGTCGCAAGTTTCGCCATTACTAAAGCTGAAAAAAAAATACCCATTTTAATATAAAATAAGTAAAAATGGTATTGAAAATAATAAATATAATGTTTATTAAAAAAGTATACACACACACACATAATACATAAAAAACATATTAATAAGCATTATATTTAAAATTTTTAAAGACAACGTAAAATTTAGCAAGATAAAATTAACCTGTAGGTAAACCTGTTCAGTTAAACAAATACAGTGAAAGTCCCAAATGACATTAAACAATGGAGTGATGCATAACTGTACACAATACAATAAACAATACGGGCCTGTTGTAAATGGGGACCACCAACCTACTTTAAGACAATGATAATTTATTCAGTACATAGAATCAGAATCTACTCTGATGCTTTAATCTGTAATTATTTGTCAATTAAATCTAAGCAATATTTTTAAAAATTGAAAATACGCATGCAAATCCAATTGTGCTTAGAGAATAAAAAAAATCTATTACATTTTTGAAAGTTTCCAGAAAGAACACAATACAAAAAAAGTACACAATGGCCAGAGCAGCTGAATAAATCCAGAAAGAGAGAGAGGTCACAAATGTATTCATACGTACTGCTCTTTGGGGAAGGTGTATGAGGAGATGGGGCCGGCGGGGGGTGTGGGGTAAGTGAATATGGCGGTCTGGTTGCAGTGCTGAGTGTAGGGGTTTTGGGGCAGGAAGGTCAGAGGAGGTTGAATGGGAGGAGAGTGCTGCTCCAGATAATCCTCTTTGTTACACGCCAAACGGTAACTCACGTAGTCGGCCGTGTTTGGGAGCTCATCGTAGAACCTCCCGGGGCTCTGTGGGAACAAAGATTCAAGGTCAGATAGAGAGAAAGAGAGAATGAACGCTGTACATATTTAATGAGAGCGCACAGGCACGCGGCTGACACTGTCACCCTGATATTACGCATGCTGGTGCTGACACGCTCAAACCTGGACCATTTTTTTCCAATTCAGAACACATAAATATTTAAAAAGTAGCAAAGTTCAAGGAAGTTATACAGAGTTACTGCTAAAACATACATTGTGATAATAAATACACCTGATGGGGGTCTTGTGAGAGGTATTAGGACTCAACAGGGAGGCAGTAGCAGCATGTTTGTTCTCTTCTCCAGTAGGAGGCGCTCTCTACACACTAAGGCTGAGGCCAAAGGCAATTCAGGTTTATCATTAAAGCCTCAGTACCTCTATTCAGGTCGGTAGCCAGACCGTGGTGCATTAGTGCTTCTTTTCATCTGATAAAATGGACAGAGGCCATACTGGTGTTTCTGTGGCTTTACTGAGTGCTCTCTTACCTGGAAGTCATCAGCTGCCTTCTTTTTAGACGAGGAAGGCTTTTTGTGGGCAGGGGAAGAACTATTCCTGCAATAATAGAGAGGAAGAGATGGAGGGTCTTAACCATAACAATTCCATAAAACAACTACATGCTGGTTTCATTTAGTCTTATGTCTTAGATGTCAGAAACTTTAGGAAAATCACACTGTAACAGTCAGACAATGCTCTACTCTTTAACTATAAAATTAGTAAGTCAGTAATATAAAAACGTTTAGGCATAATTTATTTTTTAATAATGTGAAAGAGTACAACCAGCATCAATTTATAATATGCGGTCAAATCGATTAATTGTGATTATCGCATCAAACATAAACGTTTGTGTTTATATAATATGTGTGTATATATATTATTAAATGTGTGTATATATATATATATATATATATATATATATATATATGTTTGTGTGTGCATGTATGTGTAGCCTATATGTACACACACACACACACACACACACACACACACATGTACAGTATATATAAGGAACATTGTATTTATACAATACATGTATATAATAATATGAAACAATAATCATATTCTATATATAATATAAACATTAAAATAAAAATATTATATAAATGTATAGAATATTTATATATTCTACTATTCTATTCTATTCTATTCTATTCTATTCTATTCTATATATTTACTAATATTTTACTAACAGACTATATAAAGATGTAAAATTTAGCCAGGTAAATATATTTTTACTGCTACCACAGAGTGAATATATATATATAACTGGGGAAAGAAAATAATTACGCAGTTCAATGGTAAAGTCTCAGGATTTGGAAGAGGTATCCTTCCAAATGTAGCATTTTAACTGAATTGAGTACTTACGAATCTTTGTCTGACCCTGCGTGTTTGTGCCGCTTCTGTTTGTTGACCAAATATATTGTGCCAGCTATACAGAGGATGATGCCCAGTGCAATCACCCATCCAAGGACACCCATAACCCTCTCTGCAGCGCTCAGTGACTGGGGTTTCTCTGCAGGAAAAATAAACGTTGGCCATCTCCTTGCTAATTCAACCATATATACACTACATAACAAATAATCACTGTCACTGACTTTTTAATAATCGGATACTTTAGTATTTAAATGTGACATGCCTCTGAAACATGTTTCTGCTCTTACATTAACGGGAATGGCTCTATTGTTCGGATCAAGTCCTATTATTTTGTGTTGATGAGAAAAAACCCACACATCCGGCTCACATTAGCTTACATGCCCTTCTTTTGTGCAAACTCATACCAACAAACCAGCCATGGAAGGTATTCATGGGAGCTTTCACTTAGGTCATTGTGTACATAAAACAACAATGATGTCAATGCAAACTAGTAAAAAGGGGATTTGCCGTGGGGTGCTCTAATGGCTGTAAAGGAAATGTTAATGGCATAATGTTTTCACTCAAAACAGACCCATACCCAACCTCAAATAAGAGACCTACACCATAAAGAATGTCCAGACCAGATGACCCCAAACACACTTAAATTGCTCAGCTTGGAAAATGGAGTTTATCAATTTATTGATTCTGGTATATTATATCACAAGAGAAAATATTACTCATAATCAGACAAATAAGACTTTAAAATGCAACTTTTTTTCTCGACTATTTTAACTGACTTGATTTACATTTTGATTTATTTTTCAGCCGAGAATTCACAAGACTTAACAACACTTGTGCTTTCACAATAAATACAAATAACAAGAACAGCAAAAACAAACACTTTATATCTGAATAGGTTTGTCTTGGCAGCATAATAAACTTCAACACATAAAGAAAATTACGAGTGTAAAAACACAAATTCTTCCAATTAGCACAAAGCACAATGTTTTAAATATTGTACAGCACATCCTAGGAAAGTCCATTAGCTGAACAACACCAAAAGCCAATGTAACATTCAAGCAGTTTGTTCCTCAGTGTCATAAAAAAGAAATCATTTTACATAAAGCGATTCAAAACACATACAGTCTAGTACAATGTATTTGTGTATCATCTCCAATAACTTCAAATAACAACATGAACATTACATATTCAAGCAGGCCTCATATTGTAGATTGCAGCCGGTGAGACATGCAATGAATCGCTGACTCTTGAAAGCTACAGCCACAGTTTATTTGATTGTTTATCTACATGTTCATATTCTCAATAGGTGGTATTTGACTACTGCAGTGCAGAGAAGTATTGTATTGTATAATGAAACCTGTGATTATAGCAGCCAGAAAGTCACTATTCTGTTTCAATAACAACAACAAAAACACAACATCTGAGTTTCCAAGAATCATGCATAAAAATATATCCACAGTGTAAGACTTTCACAGTTTATAGGTTATAGTACAGTTCTACTTGCCCTTAAAGTGAACACTATACCAGGGCAAAACTGCTTTCTCAAAACAATGGCACTGTCGAGATGTTTTCTCATCCAAACTTGACATCCATTTTAAAGGGTTGTGCTGACAAATACCCAGCGCATGTTAGTGATATTAGCTCTGTTACAAAACCTATTTGAGCCAGCGCCCTAAACATCATTGAAAATAACTGATTTAGGACATCTACCTCGGAAACTCCAACTTCAAACTCTATTGAAATCAACTGTGACTTAAGTTAGCATGTTGCTAAGCTAACAGGACTGTAACAAAACCTAGTGATTTAACATCCTGAATGTCATGGAAAGTGACCGATTTGGGATGCCTGGGTCACGTAAGTGCTGCGGACAATAGAACGCAACTCACAATTGATTTCAATAGAGTATGAAATGATGTTGCTAAACTAACAGCACAATACTCTATAATCATTGTGGAGGAATTTAATTAATCATAACTAACATTCCTTTGACTTGCTGGATTGAAATTTATTTGCTTTGAATACTAAATGTCCCCAACACTTGGGCCAAAGTTAGTGTGTCTGAATATAACAAAAGAGGAAACAAAACTAGACAGTTGTCTGAAAATATATTTAACCTCATGACTTGCGCAACAAGCTGGAGTATCAAGGAATCCAAATTAGCTTTTACCTACTAGAGAATTATACATAAGAACAAATCATATTAGAGAAAAAGGATGTAATTAATCACGTCACCTTTGCCATGCACTTATTCTATAAACTGTTGTACTCTTTTTCTGGTGGGATTCTCTGGCATTGTCTGGAGTCTGTCTGGTTACTGCTGTGCAGCAGGTCAGTGGAACACTAGAGATCTAATTCCCAAGTGATAGTATTCACTGGGGGGCGAGACGTTGCCCGGCTCTTAGGCGTCCGGGGTTACCAATGTAGTCAGGTAGCTATAATTATTTGGCATTTGATGTAGTCAGTATAGCTATAGTCTTAGGCATTTTATGCAGTCGGTATAGCTATAGTCTTTATATAGTCTATTATTCTTAGGCATACTGAACTTAAGTCAGGTGCACTGGGGAAATTCTAACACAACATACACAAATATTTGGCAAAATAATTCATTTTAATTACATTTAAATGTATTGACAAAAAAAATTTTCAGTGAGTTTATCGCAATGTATTATGGGATAGTCTTCTACGTGAATGATTGTGATGCTGATTTAGAATTGGCTATTTCAATAGGCAGCATAATTATGCATTATGCAAAAATGTTCAAATAACTATGCATAATTATGATGGCTGCCATAAATAGCGTGCTAGGTTTTGAAACAGAGATTATGTCATGCAAAGTAATCGACATGTCCAATCTCCAAACATCCATCATCATTTTGGATTTTCATGCCAACAATGCTGTCTAAGTGAATCAAATCCAACGTCAGTTTGAATCCCAAAGCCTGCTTCAAAAGGAAGGAGATGGCGAAGAACGAGAAGAAAAATGGACGTGCTGAGAAGTTCAACGTTTTGAATTCTACACATACCACTCTTCTTTAGAGATGACAGAGCCGTCCATCTGAGGAACCATGTCCACTGAGACCTCCACCTCAGATCCATACTCGTAAAAATAAGTCTGCTCGTTACATTCGCATCTCTCATGGTCCTCGATCAGTCCCGCGCAGTAGGTCTTCATCCTGCTGTCATGGCAGTTGTGAAACTCCTGAGTGCGTCCTCCTAAAATACTGGAGCCTCTGTAAAGTTCCAGCTTCTTCTCTTCATCTGATTCTTCAGAGAAGGTCAGACTGTGAGGTAGCGAGGGGTGTGGCGGCACGCTGCCAGCCTTGCTGTAGCCATTTCCAAGGATTTGCTTTTTCGTATTGTAATTTCCTTTAAATGTGCATCTCCGGCGATAGAAAAACACTACCAGGAGCGTAATGGCAGCCAACAGCACTGTGCCACAAACAACAGCTCCACCAATGACGGCACCTGCTTGCTGTTGCTCCTGAGACACCTCGTGTGGGTAGCTAGGGAATTCTGGGTAAGGAAAGAGGTAGTCATATTGATCACTTTTAAATTGCATAACAATATGAGGTTGTTAAAGACCTTGTGCACATTTTTTTTTTCATGGGTTGATGTATTTCCTGTTGAAACAGGACGTGGGGTCTAGGATCATATCAAAGGGCTTGTATCTTTACTTAGAACAGGCCATACTGCTGTTCAAAAGTTTGAATACATTTTTTGTTATGTTTTTGAAAAAAGTATCTTGTGCTCACTAAGGCTGCATTTATTATCTATAAATTAGATCAAATATATTTTAGTCTATTAGAATGTTTTAAAATGTAATTTATTCCTGTGATGGCAAAGCTGAATTTTCAGCATTATTACGCCAGTCGTCAGTGTCACATGATCCTCCAGAAATCATTCTAATATGCTGATTTGGTACTCAAGAAACATTTCTTATTATTATTAATGTTGAAAACAGTTGTGCTGATTAATGTTTTTGTAGACACCATAACCGGTTTAAATTTTTAATGTATATAATGCATTTGAATATAAAGCATTCATTTGAAATAGAAATCTTTTGTAACATTATAAATATCTTTGTCACTTTTGATCAATTGTATCCTTGCTGAATAAAAGTATTCATTTATTTTAAAGAAAATCTTACTCACCCCAAGCTTTTGAACAGTAGTGTAAATGTGCTAAAAGCTAAAAAAAAAAAAAACTTAAATAAAACTTTTAGGAGTACATTTACATATTGGACGCTGACTAAAAGCCACAAAGCTCAATTTCGATTTCACAAGGTCTTTTAAAAAGCAACATGAGTAGGAGGAGGGAGTCAGGATGGGGATGACTTTTCTTTTCTTTGTACAATCCCAGGTGCCGTCACTACACCAAAGAGATCGAACCATGCAGCAGGCCGGAAGAACCACACATACATGAACACACAAGTAAATGTTTCTATTCAACGTTTCTATAGACCACACCTTATGTTAACAGCATGCCAAAAGGAAAATGATTCAGGAGATCCTCAAAGACTATGGTTCATTCAGAAGCCACACACAGACAACTTGCAGCCACATGCAAAGTGCTGCACCAGCAAGCAAGTGAAAAAACGCCAAAATAAAACTTAGGGCCAAAGAACTAAATACAGTTTCAGGCAGTGAGAGTCCACATTGTTTATTGACACAACAATGGCATGATAATGCTTAAGTGATGTTTCAGAGGCAGTCGAGAGTAAGCTTAGGGTAAAAGACTAAAAGATTCACATGTATATTTAAGGTTCACATGCAGAAAAGCAGTTAAGCATTCGGTCCAACAGAAAGTGTAAACAATGTACCTGTGACAATGACCTCTACGGATGCTGAGCCTGTCCCAATGCTGTTGGTGGCGTCACAGATGTACGTTCCCGAGATGTCATAGGTTACAGGACCTTTGAAGATCAGCACATCGTCACGAAGTTCTGCTGTACTCGGCATAGTTCCATTCAAGCTAGAGAGAGAAATGCTCATCAGGTTTTGCATGAGATTTCACTGATGCTAAGATGCAAAGAACAACATCAATAGTAAGTGCAATGCAAACCCGAGTTGAAACTATTTTCTGTGGTAATCGACAGAGATATGCTACGGTATATTTTGAGATCATCATCTATTTCAATATATTTTAAGTGAACGTTCTTTGAATGATGAATAAATCAGCACAGAATTCAAAGGCATGTTGTTTACTAAGACTAAAATGACATACTATCTCCACTGAAACAAAGAGATGGGTGGGTTGGCATCAGCCAAGCAGGTGAGCTGAACGTTTTCTCTGTTCAAATACCAGTTTCCATCGAAGCCATCTACTAACACCTCTGGATCATCTGTAGACAAGGAGCAAAATACAACATAAATGTATCTAAGTATTTTTTGTTCTTTCCTTCAATGGACACGAAATAAAATTGATGTAAACAGTAACACAAATTTTGAATAAAAATAGTTCTAATTGAGACTCCATGATGTATTTTTGAATACATATTATTCATTATTCATCTATACATATATTCAGTCTTCAGTATCACAAGAAACATTTATTAATCAATGTTGAAAATATGACCCTTCAGAAATCCTTGATTGGTGCTGAAGTAAAATTTCAATCATCAATGTGCTGTTTAATATTTAGTTCGAAAGAACAGCATTTATTTGAAATAGATTTTTTTTGTAACAATGTAAAAGTCTTCAGTGACTTTTAATCGATTAAATGAATCCTCGCTGAATAAGTATTCATTTTTTTCCAATACATTTTTTAAACTTTTACTGACCCCAAACTTTTGAACAGTACTGTAAAGCATGGTTTCTTACACTGAATGTTGAGCGTGACACTGTCCGTGAATTGTTCGTCATTATATGTGGAGACGCAGGTGAGCAGCTGTTGGTGTATTTCTCGACTGGGAATCACCAAGTAATCACTGCGCACAGTGACAGTCCCATCAGGGTTGCGTATCTCCTGAGTGTTGGATTCTCCAACCAAATCGGTTTCCCATGTGATCACACTGGGTGGCTTCCCATTGGCAGAAACGCATGTGGCAACAGTCATCTTCAGATCTTTGGATCCCGCCACTATGGAGGGTGTGGACAGACTCATCTGGATCATAGGGCGAACTGCAGGACAAATACAGAGGCTTACAACACAGGCACACTGCAGGCGACTCCTGGATTACTGCAATAGTCTGTCCCAAGTTATGTTTTGATAGCTTTTCAGCTTATTACTTTGTGTTTTTCATTAATAACTACAATGCTCTATATAATCAGTTTTCATGGAAAACGAACTTTGAACAGACAAAAGCCTCATCAACTTGGAAAATTATGCAATACGCACAGAAATTCTTCTTCTGTGAAATCAAATGTTTACTAATCTCAAAACCAAAAAAATTAATCTCAGTTTATGTGATGTGAGCACTACAAAAAATCCAGCAAAATCCACTGCAGCACAACCTTGGCTCCAAAAGCATGTTTCACACATCTAGGCGTAACTGCTACAACAGTAAGTGCTTTTACACTGCTCAGGTCCTCAGAGTAATCTAATGATAGTGAGTTTTCAATTAATCACTAAAGCTTACAAAAAATAGTTTGCTGAAATTATTAGCTCTTAAATCTCATTTGGAGTCATTTGTAAATGCATAATGCAGTCACAAAAAAATAAATCAGCGTTTGTGGTATTCGTGGCCTGGAGAGATTGCTGTACAGTTGGTATTAGGAGGATAGCGGCATTACATACCATAAATGGTGAGATTAACCATGTTCTCCCTGTTGCCAGCTGGGAAGGTTGTGTACTCGCAGATGTAGGTGGATTCATCCGACAGTTTTAGTTTGTTGAAGACTATGGTGGTGTCCTCCAGGGAAGGCGTGCGCTGGCGAATGGCAGAGTTCTTGAAGCGCACACGGTCTTTAAAGGGGGTCAGCACCGACACGCCTAGGGTTGGATTGGCGATGGCCACGTTCTGCTTAGTGCCGTTGACCAGCTTCTGCCAGGTGACCTGGGAGATTTTTACAGGTGGGTTGCTGTTGACAAACTGACAGCGCAGCTCTACCTGTGAGCCCACAAATCCTGACTTACTGCTATCCATCTGGACCATTTGACCACGAACATCTGGGAATGGAAAGATTAACAGTCAGTCAGGGTTTTGTTAGTCACCATATGTGGATGAACATGTAAAGATCAAATCAAGAACGAGAAAAAATATTTTATTTATTTATTTTAATGTGGTTTTCATAAACATATTTCTATCCTGACAAAATTTTAGCATGGTAAGGGACTGTTCGTTATTTATTTAAGGGGCCACCGGAGGAGTTTTGAGATCTGTAGTCAAAAAAGACTTGACCCTCCCTTCGCCAGCAATATTTTTTTCTATGACTCTCCAAAATGATTGTGAAAAAAGGCATGACCCTCCCCGATAATTTATTAATTAGCCTATTTGTGTACTGGTTTTGGCAAAGATGTTCAGATAGCCATTCCACGATAAACGACTAAACTCCTGCTTTCTCATCTTGCGGCTGTAACGATAGACCAAACCTACAATTCGGTTTGTATCACGATTTTTGATTTGAAAAAAATAAAAATAATTTTTTTTTAAATCATGTTTTCGGTGCTGATGCCGTGGTGATGCGTTCATGTAAAATGTAAGGGTGGCGCTGCCAATACAGTATCTTAAAGCTGCCACAAAGAACCGGCAAAAGTAATGATTATGAATAATTTCAAGGGGACATTTTAATTGTTTATTAATAAACAAGTCTTTGTCAGTGTGGCTGCAAATATAAAGGTGATTATGCTGACTCGTGATCTTCGCAGTAGTGAACGCGCCAGAGAGAAATGCACATTTACGGATTACAGAAGCAGAGTCTGTAGTCTGTTTTCTTTCGTTTTGAATTATTCTGTTAAAAAGTAGACATGTCAAGCTTTCTACATATTTATATGTAAAAGTTTTAAAGTCACTTTCAGAGCGGTCATGTCCGTAACGGAGAACTGTCACGTCAGTAAAAAAAAAAATTCCCTCATAAATGCGAACACGAAAAAAATAAAAATAATATTTTGTGTTATTAACAGTCTCAAACCAGGACAATTCGATGTTTGTTGTGGTTATGTCTTATTTCGACATATGTTGTGCTGCATGCAACAATCAAGATGTGCATTTGTAAATCCAGCTATATTTGCTTCTTATTAATTAAATCCAGGTTTGGTTGATGAAAATTTGATTAAAATTAAGATACAATTTATACAAAACGAAATTCACTTTAAAGAAAGGCTTTCTATAAAACAACACTTAATAAAGTGGTCAAAATCATGTCTGGCCATGTCTCCCGATGCGTATAGGCTATACTTTTCATAATAAACATAGATGAAAAAAAAACATTATAATAAATATGAAACTTTCTTTTATTACGTCTTTCTTCTGTGGATTTCTTCAGCTCCTGATTGGTCAAATTCAGATAGATCGACAAATCGGCTCATTCAACTGCACAGCGCACACACCTCACGAATTCAAGCCTACAGCTCCCGAACTTTTTAGACATGTTTAAAAATTATCGTGAGGTCGAGAGGTTCGGCTCGGCTCGTATCTTCCTAGCACACGACACGAGCCGCAACATGCGAGCACAACCGATTTCCACGCGATTTCTCTCGAGTGAAAAAAATCATCTGCGAGCTCGTAAAACAGCAAAAAATCGCACTGTGTAAGCCCGCCTTAAGGGAGTATGAATATATAAACAGACGTTTCAGTAAAAAATGCATTTTCTGAGAATTTATATTTCAAGTTTTGACTGCAAATGTCACGTCCACAACGCTGGAATTGCCCAATTTTAAAGAATTTATCCTCAACAAGTTTTTTTGGTGTAGGTCTACGTATTTTATTATGTTAACTTCAAATAATACGAATAGTAATTTAAAAATGTAGTAGCCCTATGTCCAACACATCACACTCCACTGTTATTGTGGCAATTTCAGTAGATTTGCTCACTAACATTGCTGTGGAAACACAGAATGGAAACTAAAATAGTATCGTGCTACAGCGCACATAAGCTGCAGTTCTGGCGCCTCAGTCCCATTACTGTAAAACTCGACGTACATTCACATCACATGTTAATGCAGCGGTAGAGTAGCACTCACAGGACACTGCACTTATTCGCAATCACAAAAGTTCATTATTTGCTCGTGCTTTAAAGCTTTGCCGGGTAAACCTTTCGTTGGCGTTCTGTTCTAATGCACTTTTTCTGAGCGCGTAGCCTACTGAAGCGCGCGCGCACTGTCAGACAGCGCCAAACTGGATTTTTGTTGGGTCAGACCGGTGTTCTGACGATTCATGCTACCCATCGAGATTTGCTACTTAATGGTCATGCGCATGTGCAGACGCACAGTTTTTTATAACAAAAGGTACATTTTCATGTGTTATATTGTAATTTCCCTTTAAAAATGCTAACTAGCATATGAATATGTGTACGGTCAGCCAGCTGAACAATAATAACTGAAAGTTTCAGTTACTAAGGAAAAGTGTGCTTTGACAAGTCAAAGATGAATATTTGATGATAATTTTTAATTTTCACACCGTTTTAAAAATAAAAACAGTAGTCTAAAGTATACAGTAGCTACTCATAACTTAGAATTGTATTATAATTGTATTTCATATAATATTAATCGACATTCTGTGATCGATTCGCGTTACGGTAGCATTTTTCGACAAGGCAGCACAAATCGTCAGAACACCGGGTCAGACCCATCTGATAGCGATAGGGGGCCGAGACCGAGAGAGCTGTAGCTACATGGAAAGAAATATGCACCAAACAAGCCACTTTGAAATTTAGCTGTTTTGATGAATACAAAAGTTGGGTGACCCTCCCCTATAGACTAAAAAAGTTGGATGACCCTCCCCCTTAACAAAGAATAAAAAGACATGACCCTCCCCTATTTTCCTCCGGTGGCCCTTTCCATAAATTCCGAACGGTCCCTAACGGATATGACAATGTTAATGTATTTGGTCTTGATTGAATAGATCTGCTACACTGCTACTGCTGCTGAAGAGCAAGTACAGAGACTTGCTACTGCCAATACATTTACACGCTGTTGTGAGTATGTAAGACATGCTGCTGCACAACAATATGAAATTACCCGTAGCAGAAGTTCAGTTCATTCACGCACAGCAGCAGACAGCTGAACGAAGTTTTGCAAGGGTAAACAAAGAATCTTGTTGTTTGAATAAGTACTAAACACTATGTCTATAAAGGCTCTTATTTTATTTATTTGATGTCTAACTGAGACATGTGGGACCTGAGAGAGAGGTCTAGCATTTGCCATCTAGTCATAGCCAATACAAAGCCTACAGTTAAATAGCCTGTGCATACAGTAGCCTAGCATTTCATCATTTATAAAATTATATTTTGGCCAAATGTATTTTGCTACAAACTGAGCGCCCAATAAACTAGTTTGTAACCTGTTGATGAAAATGTAATGTGGGGTTTTAATGACGGACAAAATGCACATTCGCACACATTCGCTGGTCAAAAACCCCATAACTCCATTTGAGTTTGACTTTTGTAAAATGTTAATTAATTTCACAGATCACAAAGTCATGACACAGTCATGCATTAACAAGCCATTACTTTATGTTAGTGTATGGTTAGTTAACCCTTTAGGCGCCAGAGGTTTTTTCCTAAAACGTTCGATTTTGACATCTTAATTTCAAAAGGCTATATCTTAAAAGTGATAAAAGATAGAGACTTTCTGTAAATTAGAGAAATATTAAGGATGACCCAAAGTTTATGTAGGGATTACATTTTCCCATCTAATTAGCATATTATGACGTTATAAGGTGGTGGCAATCTTGGATTATAGAATTTTCATGAAAAGTCACATGTTTAAATGATAAAATGCAGCACTTCTTTCCCCCCAAAATGTCCATCACCTTCTGTATGCTATATTGCACAATACTGAATGCTCAGGTATATAGTAAGTAGTAAACAAACAACTGTGTAAATCATTACTAATAAATGGTAGAAACAAACCGAATGCATGTAGTGATTGGCCTTTTGCTGTAGAGATTTTCCATTTACTAAATACAGTAGGCACTCTGATTCCATGTATGGGGCAAATATATTTTATTCATATGACATACAAACACAAGTAGACAAGACCTGTTTACTTCAAACGCTCACTCGCACAGATCATGAGTGACATGATATGAGCAGCGCGGCTAGATCTGCCTCGTGCGCGCGCCGAGTATGCACAGCTCGGACTACTGTCATTGTCATTGCGACTCCCCAACCTGCCTCCACGTTGCCTCCTAACTGTCCTATGAATACTTCGACCTCGTCTAACATACCCAGTGGTATTAGACAAAGTCTCCACCACAATACTGTCGCCGCGATTGCGGAGAGGATCTGATAAAATGGCTCACTCGCACACTAGCTCCGCTTTTGATCGCACTGATTCAATGCGCTCTAACTCGAACATTTTGTATAGAAACATGACGTTTTTTTTTTTATTCGGGGATGAAGCATGACGTGTCTGCCATCCAGTGGAGGGGAGGTCGAACGAAATTTGACACCCAATTTGACAAAATCGGCCGTTTTATTCAGTGCCGCATCTTGTCGAGTAAACTCGACCGTGGCGCCTAGAGGGTTAATCATGAGTTAGTAATGATGTGCCCCCTCAAGTAAAGTCATGACATAATGATACATTAACAAGCCAATAGTTCATATTAGTGTATGGTTAGTTAATAATGAATTAATTATGATGTGCCTCCTCAAGTAAAGATGCACTTACAAATCATTAACTAAAATATGAATAAACATATACAATAAGAGTGCCATCCTTATTCCTTTACACCCCTGGTGAAACAAAACAAAGATAAAAAATGTGTAGTTCTATTATTTTTATTTATACAATTAAACACATATGGACTTAAAAGAAAGGCCAAACATACCTGTAAAGACACACATAAGGCACATTTACATGTAAAATAGGGCATAAGCCATAAGCTAATGCTTATCGAAGCATAAGCATTTAAACATCAAAAATTACAGTTAATTACTGTACTTAACCTCCTGAAAACTCCCAAATACAACATACATGCAAACATGTCTTTAATTATTAATTCCTTT